GCAGCAGGGCCTCCGCACCGCCAGGACCCCCGCGCCAGAACAAAGGAATGTGGGGACCGGGCGGGCAGGAGCGCAGGCCGGAGCCGGACGGCCGCCCGGGCGCTGCCGAGCGCTCACCCGAGGTCCACACGCGCCACCCCAACCCCGGTCCCATGGCCGCAGGAGGGAGGGTCGCGCAGAAGGTCTCCATCCCGAGGCTACGCGGCCCCCTGCAGGCAGCCCCAGCTCCAAAGTAGGTCGGGGTCTCACACCGGGCCTGGAGCAATATTAGCTTCTGGGAAAGCCACTGCAATTATTTGCGTAATATAATTTGTCCAAGTGGTGAATTTTTATAATACCCCCTTCAAAATACACCCCACAACGCTGCACTTTTATTTATTTAAATGTTAGGAAAATCTGACATACACACACCGTCATATACCTATATTAACATATTTACACTACATAAGAGTTCGGGAAGAAACATAAAATCTGGGTACGTTATAGTATAGTCATCTGTCCTCACATAAATAAAACTAGGTTATCCAGCAAAAATATAAACTACTAACCTATATTTGTTTCCCATAAATCATATCTGGTCTGGAGAAAAAAATAGGATGTGAAATAATACTTGTGACCTCGTCATTCGCTGCTGTTATTTACAAAAGCAAAGACCAGAAGATGACACTTGGCCATCCCCTGCTTTCTCAGGAACAGCACTTGCCTAAACTGTCCTTTAAAAAGATAAAGGAGAGTCAGAATCCAGCAAATCACCAGGCTCTGCCAAATGTCTTCCTAAAAATACAGTCTTATCAAAGGTCTCCGAAGGCGTGGAGTTAAAACTACAGCCAATGGCCTTGAACTTGTATTTGCACACAGCCCTGGAGAAAACACCAGAAATAGCACTGGGAGGCCACCACAATTGTTAAAATTTGATAGGACTAAATTTAGAAGAACGCACATTTCATTTGGGGAAAAGACATACATTAGGCAGCATAAGCAAACTCAATGCTTACCCGGTTGTCTATTTTCCTGTTTAATCTATCCCTTTAAAAAATAACAAGAACAAACTGTTACAGTGACATTTAAAGGCTGAGATTGTCCTACATTCTTTGTAACAAGATTATAAAATCACGTAATTAGCTCCCTCTTCCTATGCTCACTGCCAGCAAATTCAGCAGTTACATAATGCAACATTTCCAGGAAACTATTATGTGATCTGTCATGTCGTGTCTGAAAACGCAACGACAATGAGGTGAGGAAAAGGGCTGACTGTAAGGAATGCATTAAAATTAGGAAGGTGGGGAGGTAAACGTCACAACGGCTCGTTCCAGGTTTAAAAATAATACCTCAGAACACCTAAGGAGCGAACCCTGGCAGTATCAGAGATCAGAATTCAACCCGAGAAACTCTTCCTTTCACGTTTTGCAATAGTGTTTTAAAACGTACCTTTTTATTTGGGAGGTACTCTAGATGTAAATAACGACCTGATACTCAACGCTGCGATAAAATTACCAAATCATTGCACACGTACGCGCTCATTCCCAGATCAGCCGTAATCCCTGCCAATATTTCACCGTGGACAGATTATGCAATGTATGCAAGGACAAACCCACAACCTCCCGAGCGCCGGTACAACACGCTGACGACAAACTCGGTGGAAAACGTCGTGCACACACGGCCGGGGCACCACCAACGCCGCGCAGGCATTCTCCCAGTGCCGTCACTGCTCACGCCACCAGCTCTTTCTCAAGAAAATCAAGACTATTTCCCATT